TGTGTAATTTGAGTAAAGTTGCACAATGCTTAAATATTTCCAGGAAAAGGGCCTTGGGAATGCCAACTAGGGAACATAGTCATTTCTAATTTTAAATTCTTGCAGGCATTCAGCTACTGTGGGGATGGGAGCCTCAAGAGTATTTAAACCTATGAAGTAAGAAAGTGCCATTTTAAAACTCCAACATCTTTTTGGCCATAAACACAATTTAAAGTTGCTGTGATAAGATCTGTCATGCTTACCTCTGCCCTTCAGTGTCCAAAGCCTGAACATAAAAATACCGAGCAGGGAGGACAACATCTGCTCTCAGACCAGGTCCCCATATTAAACTGTTCTCCGGACTCAGCTGGTTTCCTCCACCCGATACAGTGAACACCGGAATTGTTCCAAGCGTTAAGTAACAAAGCAGCCCAATGCTAAACATTTACAAGATTTCCTCTTCAGGAAAAAACACAAACAGGAAGACAGGCCAAGCTGCAGGGAAGGGGTAGAAAACGTGTCCTAAAGCGTAACTTGTGTCTCAGTTACACATCTGCCTTGACTTAGCGTCAGTTTGTTTGTTTCAAAGAAGTCTTGAATATTTCCACTTTCCCCCTACGCAAACTACAAGGGAGAAGCTAGTTAACTACATTAGTTACCACAGAGAAGACACACTCAGGAGCTGCTGCCGTGCCCCTATTTCTTTGTCTTTGTGTGCATCGATTCTTCTGCCTTTAACCCTGGAGCTGGAACAGCATCTTCGGGTTAAGCCTATCCTCAGTCTCAGCGGGCAAGAAGGGAAAGGGGATTCTTTCATTGGTCCAACAAAACTTCTTCCGAATGAATAATGATATTGTCTCACTTCCCAGGCTGAGCAGTAATGCTGGGAAATGTAGTCCAGCAACTAGAATCACAGCAGGCTTGTACCTCACCACTCACGCTCATTACCAGTATGGGTTGGGCGGGGGAGAGAACATTTCAAGCGATTTCAAACAAGAGTGCAGACACTTGCAGCGTACTGCAAGTACAAGTTTAAATGGGACACTGTCGGCTTAAAACTTACACTTCTGGCTGAAAATGTTGTACCTATTATTGCTGCCAGTAACACACAAGGTTACAAGTGAAAGATTTTTGAAATCGACTTTTTCAATTTGTTTACTTTATGTATTTACCATCATATTGTATATACATAGCTTCTGTTTCCTTTATAGTCCATAGTTGGGGCTAGATCCACTTATTCTAGTGCTACAACACCTAAATTTAGGTCTCCTGCTGCCTAATAGAATCCACAATCCTGAGTTAGGGATGCACAGGGAGAATTAGGGGCCTAAGAATGGGATCCACAAAAACCAGCAAAGCTGAGCAGGGAGCCACCCAATCTAGCCAATAGGAAATGCCCAGGAAAGGAGTTTTGCCTACATCCCATCTCCTCAAAGGGGCTTAGGTGCCTGTCTCTGGTTAGTATTCACAGCTGTGAACTCCTTCCTGAAGCTGGGTGCCCAAGCCTTTTCTTGTAAAAAAGAGGTAGTGCTGCTGATATGGGATAGCTCAGTGGTTTGAGCATTGGCCTGCTTAAACCCAGCGTTGTGAGTTCAATCCTTGAGGGGGCCATTTAGGGATCTGGGGCAAAAATTGGGGATTGGTCCTGCTTTGAGCAGGGGGTTGGACTAGATGACCTCCTGAGGTCCCTTCCAACCCTGAGATTCTATGATTCTATATATATATAACTACAGAATTAACCCTGTTGTTAGTGCCCTCAGCCAGGATGGGGGAGACATAAAGTTCAAATCCTTATTCTGCCTGATGGGAAATAAGGATTTAAACTTGTTTTTCAATAGAGTACCCTAACCACTGGGCTATGGGCATTCTAGCTTTCTCAGTTGCTCCTGTTGAAACTTTTTGACCCAGACTGTGTATAAATAATTAGCATTCATTGGGCCAGAGAAAGCACGCAAATGACTGAATAGCCCTGTGTTTAGGGCACTCACTTTTCAAGTCCCTGCTCTAATGTATATTTTATTAGTTACACACAGTAGAATAGCTTCAATAGGACTGAAAAAAACTTGGCCTAGAACACTGCATAGCTCAGCGGGTACAGCACTTGTACAAGACGTGGGTTGAACAATGTCCGGCAGACAAGGCATCTGAATCTGGGTCTCCCATATCCTGGGTAAGTGTCCTAACTCCTAGGCTAAAGGTTATAAGGTGGGGGTGGTACCTTATGTTTTGTGAAGAGCCTGATCTGTTGATCAGCCTCTGAGAACACCTACTGGATCAGGCCCCACAAGCCAGATAAATAGGGAATGCCTATTTTGAGGATCCTGCCTGGATTTAGCCATCTTGCTGTCAGGATTAAGTGGCTGTTGGAGTGATCGCTGCCAGATTTTTTAGGTGCCATGGGACCTTTATCAGAAACTTAGATGCCTACGTATTTTAGGCACCTACATGATTAGGGGATAGCCGAGCAGGGTTATTGGAGGTCTAAATATTGGATTTAGGCATCTAAAGTGGCAATTAGGTGCCTAAATCCCTTTGGGGCTCCAGCTCATAGGTTCTGTGTTTGTGTAGGTCTTTCAAACAACAACAGGGTAGGAAATAAACATTTTAAAAATAGGAAAATATTATTGTAAAAAAAATGGCAGAAGCTGGCATAGTACCTGTAACTACTTTTAACTATTTTTTCCAAGTTGATTGTAATTTAATTATTGCATGCATATTTCTTTGTGAAATCTTAAAGCTGCTTAACTTTTATTGACTTGTGATGATAATTACATGTTCAATAGTGACTTTGAAGAAACACTGAAGATTCAGCAACACTGGCTTGTATAATAATCGTTATTTACCCTAGCCTCAGCATATTCCTATACACACGATATGCATTGTAACAGATTTGTTTGGTTCAGTTCTTTATTGGTGAAAATGATTCAAATACACAGACTCAATACACAGATAACAGCTGTAAAAAGAAACAAATATTTTACTTAGCCACTCACAGATGCCAGATTCCTCTGGGCCCTGGGGATGTTCAATCTCCTGCTCTGCCTTAGGCCCAGCCCCCACCCCACCCCTTCTCCCAAGCCTCCATCCCCGCTCCAACTCTTCCCGCCCCTGCTTCACCCCTCCTCCCAGTGTGCCCCATCTCTGCTCCTCCTCCTCCCCTCCAGCACCTCCTGCACACCTCGGAACAGCTGATTGTGGCCGGTGAGAGGCGCTGGGAGGGCAGGGGAGGAGTTGATTGGTGGGGCTGCCAGCGGACAGGGGCACTGGGGATGTGAGGAGCTGGCTGCTGGTGGGTGCTAAGCACACACTCATTTTTTCTGTGGGTGCTCCAGCCCTGGAGCACCCATGGAGTCAACACCTAAGACACTTGAAATTATACACACATTAGGATCCTGATCTGATTAGGGCTAATAACTAGCATATTCATATTTTCAGCACCCCCTTGTAAACCCCAGAGTTCAGAAGGCTAATCAGGGAATGAAATCAGGTTTAATTTACATAAATAATTATACCCTCATGCTTTTCTGTATAGTGTTTTATTGTATTGTTAAGAGTTTGTGTTCTGTTTTTGGAAATGATATTATTTCATATGTACAGGTACATATATGTATGAAAGTGGGGAGAAATTTGGAAAGGGATAGCCTGAGGAATGTGAGCCACCCTGAACTGAGAGGTATTAGACTCTGGTAGGGTAGAGAATCCAAAACATCCCTGTGGATTTGGTTCAGATGTCTTAAGTGAGCTGTAGCTCACGAAAGCTCATGCTCAAATAAATTGGTTAGTCTCTAAGGTGCCACAAGTACTCCTTTTCTTTTTGCAAATACAGAGTAACACGGCTGTTACTCTGAAACTTGGCCTACTTAGACATGCTGAGCTCTGTGTTATCCAGTGTTGATGCTGGGTCTGTGGTACTAGTTTGGGTGGCTACAAGATATAGGTGGAGTTAGATTGAAGCAGTCAGAATTCTAGTGCCTGCTTATATACCAGTAGGCTTATCTGAATTCATGCGTGAGGTTACAGGTGATTGAGGATTGTATTGTATGCTCTCTGGGTCTTCAATAAACTGAGTTATATATAAGTAAGAGTGAGGGGGCTTATCATGTTCCTCACTTTACGATTTTGATCATTATAGAAAGGTAACCAGAGTATTTAGGTTTTAAGTTTGTGAAACCGGCGGTGGTGGGGGAGAAGGTTTTAGAAGGACTATGTCACACATGTTATTTATTTTAGAAAGGGACCCTAGACGTATTACTGAAACCAGCCCTGGTTACTGTGCCCTGGACAGAACAGCTGTAACCCTATTACTCTGTATACATCACTGAAGGTGGTAGGAAAAATAGAGTTATCCTGACAACACCAAGCCCTTTATTCTTTGTATGTTCTTCCTATTCCCAATAACGGTATTGACAATAACCCCATCAAGAAATGTTCCTTTATTGGAAATACATATACATAAAATATAGTTAAAAGAACAAAAGTCTATCATTACTTTTGTGTTGAAACACAAAATACGCAGTAAATTAAATCTCCAAGAAGGGGCCCTTATTTCATATTTTTTTATGTTATTGTGAATAGGTTTGTGTAAAAACACAGAGAATAAGTTACATTGAGAAGAATTTCAAGAACAATATTATTTTAAAAAGGAAATATCACGGCTACCGAGTTAAATTGTGTCCTATGTTCTTAAAAAACTCATTCATCAGGAGTTTCAGCCACCGACTTGCAAGACTCAGGAAGGATTTGGGGCCAGGGGAGCTGTTATCTCCTTCCTCGGAAGCATCAGGAGTGGCCACAGCTAGAGACAGGGCCAGGGCTCTGAATTCGCTCCCGCGGGATGCTAGGCTGGGTGGTTCTTGCTCAGGGTCTAACTGAGCGCCCTACTCTTGGGGAAATTGTGCCGAATTTTGCAGCAGTGTCTGTTCCCCCCACCACACACACACACACACACACACACACACACACGGCATTTCTGGCCACCACTAGGCGCCGCTGGGCTCTGCAGAGCCCAGCTCGCAGCGAGCGGAGCGCCCAGCCTGCCTGGGCTGGAGGCTGCACGGTCTTTGATCCTCACTCTCCCGGGGACAGGAGCGGGCCTGGGAGGCCGGCCAGCTCGGGCAAAGGGTGAGGAAGGGCGGGGCGCGCTCGCGCCGCACCGTGGCCCCTGGAGGGCCAGCAAAGAAGTTGGGGGGTGGAGGGAGTAAAAGGGGGGAGGGGTGCTGGTGTCCGGGCTGGCGGCTGCCCCGTGGCCGGGCTCTGGGGAGGAGGGGTGGGTGCTGGTGCCTGGGGGTGACCCCTTGGCTGGGCTGGGGGCTACCCTGCAGCTGGGCTCTGAGGGGGGGTGGTGTCTGGGCCAGAGGGTGCCCCCTGGCTGGGCTGGGGGGGGGGGAGAGGGGTTAGGGGTAGGAAGTCCCGTCCCCCCCCCCATCAGAGTGGCAGAAACCTTGGAGGCTTTTTGCCTTCTGCAGTGTGTGGGTGCAGGTCACTTGGCAGGATTATCTAGGTCAGCGGTTCTCAAACTGTGGGTCAGGACCCCGTTTTAATGGGGTCGCCAGGACTGGCTTAGATTTGCTGGGGCCAAAGCCCAAGCCTGAGGACTTCAACCCTGGGTAGGGAGCCTCAGGCAGGGCTTCAGCTTTGGTTTCCCCCTCCCCGCCTGAGGTGGTGGGGCTTTGGCTCCCCCCATGCAGGGCAGCAGGGTTTGGGTGGGCTCAGGCTTTGGTCCCCGCTCCTGACAGTTTTGTAGTAATTTTTATTGTCAGAAGGGGGTCAGGGTGCCATGAAGTTTGAGAACCCCTGACCTAGGTATACCTCACTTAATCATTTCCCTGTTATTGGCTATTGCAGGGGCCTCGGGTAGGGATGCACCTCAAACTCTCCTATTCTGTGCCTATGGCACATAATAGTCTAGTCTCCTGTGAGCTGTAATACTTTTATCTAATTTCAGTTGTTGGGTTTAGTGTACGGGTGCTGGTGACGTGATATTCAGGAGGTCAGACTAAATGATCTGGTGGTCCTCTCTGGCCTTACTTTCTATGACTCAACTGAGTAAAATATTTCCCCCTACTTTTTATTGCTTGGAGAGACCTCCACAGAATCTTCAGAGGTTACTGAGCCTCTCACCCCACTTGTGTGGGAGATGTGGGCTTTCTGTTCATGGATCTACAGAGCACAATCTGGCACAGTTTGTCAATGCCAAACTAATTTCTAAAATAATCTTAAATCATTTAATCTATTTTTAGATCTGTCTGGCCAGGCCAGTACTATTGCTATCCTAATGATAGTAATTTGGCTCCAAAAAAAAAAAAAGCTTTGGAAGCAAAATTGTTGCATAGTTGCAATCAAGGGTGCTGGCTAACTATGGTTCCACAAGCCTTCCAAAGAGTGAAACCTGGGAAGATGCTCTCCATTCTAAGATGTACATTACCCTTGGAAGCAGTCACATAAAATTCTGGCTTTGGTGTTGGGCCTGCCCTTTTCCTACCCCCACCCCCCAGGCCTTTCCGAGTTGCAAACCTGACTGGACCACCAGACCCTTGAGAACTCAGTGAGTTTGTGTACCTACCGCCAAGGACCACAAAAAAACCTCTAGTTTGAGGACTCATTCTATGCAGCATAGTCCCCTTGCCACTGTTTGAAGTGCCTCTATGGCTAGGGACTGCTCTATTTATGGGTTATAAGGCTTAATTATACAATTTTATAATTTATAGTACTAAATGTTATAGGTTAGAAGCTCATAGCTTTTAGGTCCTTCTGTGTTTCCTTTTTAAATATCAAAAACACCCAGAGTCACAGATGGGCAGCTTTTTTAATGTATTGTGATAAATCGCCATAAATAAATATATTTGTATTTAATATTTATGTTGTGGTAGTGGCTAGAGGCCCCACTCAGGATTACAATATGAGTCTCTCGATGTCACTGTTTCAGCTTTCAGAGTAACAGCCGTGTTAGTCTGTATTCGCAAAAAGAAAAAGGAGTACTTGTAGCACCTTAGAGACTAACCAATTTATTTGAGCATGAGCTTTCGTGAGCTACAGCTCACTTCATCAGATGTATACCGTGGAAACTGCAGCAGACTTTATATACACACAGAGATCATGAAACAATACCTCCTCCCACCCCACTGTCCTGCTGGTAATAGCTTATCTAAAGTGATCATCAGGTGGGCCATTTCCAGCACAAATCCAGGTTTTCTCACCCTCCACCCCCCCACACAAATTCATAGGAGAGTGAATTTGTGTGTGGGGGTGGAGGGTGAGAAAACCTGGATTTGTGCTGGAAATGGCCCACCTGATGATCACTTTAGATAAGCTATTACCAGCAGGACAGTGGGGTGGGAGGAGGTATTGTTTCATGATCTCTGTGTGTATATAAAGTCTGCTGCAGTTTCCACGGTATACATCTGATGAAGTGAGCTGTAGCTCACGAAAGCTCATGCTCAAATAAATTGGTTAGTCTCTAAGGTGCTACAAGTACTCCTTTACTGTTTCAGCTAAATTCGAAAACAAGTTAGCTGATGGGGAAAAACGTTTTCAGCATGAGGTCAGAAGTGCCACAGGTACAGAGCACCATGTAGCCTGGGCTGGGGTAACTGTAGGGAAACAGCTTTGTTATATCAACCCTAGCAGCCAATCTGTTCTCATCAGCTGCCAAGGGGAGCCCCATGGCAGACAGCCACTGTCAGCAATAGCTGTGCCAGCTCCAAATGTTCAAAAATCATGAGTAAGAGTCACCAAAAATCACAAGTTTGACTTTAAAACCATGAGATTATGTAAAAATAATAGATTTTATGTTCTTTTTATTTGCCTTCTGCTTTTTGACACGTTAGGTGCACTGGGGTCATATTTTGAAGTTTTCACCACCACCACAAGGGCCAGAATAGGTGCTGATTCTATGGGTGCTCCGGGGCTGGAGCACCCATGGGAAAAAAATTGTGGGCGCTCAGCACCCACCGATGACCCTGCTGATCAGCTCCTCCCCCTCCCAGTGCCTCCTGCCTGCCATGATCAGCTGTTCGGCAGTGGGCAAGAGGCACTGCGTGGGGAGGGGGCACCCTTGAGGGAGGGGGGCGGAACAGGGTGGGAAGAGACAGAGCAGGGGAGGGGATGGGTGGGGCCGGGAAGAGGTGGGGCGGGGTGGGGTGGGGCCTTGGGGAAAGGGTGGAGTGGAGGCGGGGCCTGGGCCAGAGCAGGGGTCGAGCACCCTTGGGGAAATGACAAAGTTGATGCCTGTGGCTAGAATTTACTTTTCCTTTAAGAATGAAGGCTGAACTCATCACATATTCACTTGACTCCAGAAGTTGGGGCTTTAAGGAAAACAATAATTACCATGAGATGCAGGACAAAATCATGAGCGTTGATAACTCTGCAATACAGGATTTTCTAATTGCAGAGAGACCCTTGGAGTCCATGTGTACCTATGCTGGTTGCCAGCCTCGCCCCTCTCACCGTGAAGGGGCTGCCTGCTCCGTGGTGACAGCCAGGGCACTGTGGCTTGCCCACTCCCTCGAGTGCCACCTTTAATCTGCCCTCAGTTCTCCTCTATCCCGGGAGCCCACCAGTCCCCCCAACCAGGGTCCCCCTCTCCCACTAACATCCCGGAGCTTGTCCTGGCCCCCAACCGGACTGGTGCAGCCAAGACATACGTGTGTCGCACCCCACATGGGTCGGGGGTGGCACCCCCGTATCTGGCCACCCATGGCCTGGGCGGAGCCACAACACCGTAACAGCTCTTGGGTGTAGGGTGGGAGGACCCCACCACCATGGGCTCAGCCCTTGCACAGCCTGCACCAGCTGTCACCCATCAGTCCTTCCCACAAGCTCCGCCCCCCACACCTCTGCCGCACTCTCATTGACTGAACAACTGTCCCTCCCTCACTTCCCCCTCTTCCTGCCCCAAGGTGCTGTGGCAGCGGTGGGCAATACCATTGGTAGGGGAAGGGCGGGGAGATACATTGCTCTGTTTCAGTCCTTGCACGTTTTCCAACCTGCCAGCTGTCATGAACAATCCAGGGGCTATGGGAGGTCGCTGCCATCTGGGTTCCCCCTCTCCCAACCCCTTCCTCTGGTGAGGTTTGGTATCATCCAGGCAGCCGTCCTGAGTAGGAGGGGGGCACAGGTGAGTCGGAGCTTGAGGCCTCCCCAACTCTGTTTCTGGTGTGATCACATCCCAGCCACTGCCGAGCGAGAGACACGGGAGCCACCATGCAGGTAACGAACCGGGGCCTTCAGCGCCCGCATCCCGGGGGGAAGGCGAGAGACCGGGGGGCCTCCCCATGTGCCACGTCCTGAGGTGAAGTGGGGGGGTGGGGTGGATCTGTCACAGCTTGTGGTGGCCAGTGCCCCTTGGGCAGGGCTGTGCTGGCTTGGGCTGCGGCAGCCACTTGCTCCTCTCAGCTGGCCAGTGAGCGGTGAAATCCTGCCCTCTGCTGGGGTTGCTCTGGCTCCTCCCACCAGAACATTAAGTCTGGAACCTGCTGACTATGGCGTGAGCTGCTGATTCAGTCCCATGTGTGGGTGGGGCATTCGCGATGTGAAGATCTGCTGCTATCTCGGCGTCATGAGCTACCCGCCCCGTCCCAGCCCCGACGGAGGGTTCTAATACTGTTGCTGCCTGTTGCATACAAACGCAGATGCAATGTTCCCGTGTGCTTGGCGCTGGCTGATAAAGGGGCATTTGAGCCTTCTAGTGAAGGAGGGTTCGCTCTGCTCAGTGGTTCCTGATACCACCCTAGGTACAAACTACTGTAGCTCTAGCTACCTTAGGAAATGATGTGTACCGGTGTGTGGCTGTAACAACTTGGCTGTGCCTTGTCTCAGTGTAATTTACGGTGATATTAGTGGGACCAAAGAGTCCTTTGCAGGAGTGGGACCTGAAATGGTAGCAAATACACATGTTCATTTTACCAGTGTCGACAGGGCCTCTATATGTACTGCAAATTGAAACTCCCATAGCTACACCCTTGCTCAGCGTTGCCTATCATGCGTAAGTACAAAGTAGTGTATTGGAGAAGGGTTATGATTTATTGGCTAAGCATAGGTACTAGAAGTCAGCATTCCCAGGTTCTGTTTCTAGTTCTTGGACAAATCACTTACCTCTTCTGTGAGACAAGGTGACTCAGGTAATATCTTTTTTTTATTGGACCAACTTCTGTGGGAGAGCGAGCACCACCCAGAGCTCTTCTTCAGGTCTGGGAAAGGTACGTGGATCGTCATAGGTAAATGCAAGGTGGAAGATGCTAAATCAGATGGGCAAACTATAGCCCATGAGCCTTTTTAAGCCAGCCCGCGAGCTGCACCAGCGGCTTGGCCCCGCTCCGGCCAAGGCGCTGGGTTGTGGCCGCACCATGTGGCTCCCAGAAGCTGTGGCATGGCCCCGCTCTGGCTCCTACATGCTCCAATGGGAGCTGCAGGGGCGGTGCCTGCGGATGGGGCAGTGAGTAGAGCCACCTGGCTGCACCTCCGCCTAGGAGCCGGAGAAGGGACATGCCACTGCTTCCGGGAGCCACTTGAGGTAAGCGCCGCTCGGAGCCTGCACCCCCTGAGCCTCCCCCCGTGCCCCACCCCTCTGTCCCAGTCCTGATCCCCCTCCCGATCTCCAAACTCCTCTATCCTAGCCTGGAGCACCCTCCTGAACCCCAAACCTCTCATCCCCAGCCCCACCCTAGAGCCCACACCCCCAGCTGGAACCTGCACCCATTCTGCACCCCTGCCCCAGCCCTGATCCTCCCACCCTCTGAACCCCTTTGTCCCAGCCCAGAGCACCCTCCTCCACCCCAAATTCCTCATCCCCATCCCAGAGCCCGCACCCCCTCCCTCACTCCAACCCCAATTTTGTGAGCATTCATGGCCCTCCATATAATTTCTATTCCCTGACGTGGCCCTCAGGCCAAAACGTTTGCCCACCCCTGTGCTAAATGCCTCTTGTCTCTCTAATATCCTGGGATTGACACAACAACAACACTGCATATTAACTTTTCTGTGTGTGTTTCCTCATACACCTCTACTCCAATATAACGCGACCCGCTATAATATGAATTCGGATATAACGCAGTAAAGCAGTGCTCTGGGGTGGCGGGGCTGCGCGCTCTGGCGAATCAAAGCAAGTTCGATATAATGCAGTTTCACCTATCATGCGGTAAGATTTTTTTGGCTCCCAAGGACAGCGTTATTTGTTATCCACGTTGCAGTGATATGGATGATTTCAAGGATGCCATCACCTTGATTTTAAACCTTAAATTAAAAGTAGCTTTTAATAGTACACCTGCCTTATTTTCTTGTCTGTATAAAACAAACATGCACATGCACACAAAACCAAACCCCAAACATTTTCTTCCCCTGTTGCTATGTGAAAGACCCACACAAACGAAAGGGAAGACTGAGTGACTATACAGGGAAGACAATGACTCACTGTACACAAGTGATGGTAAATACACAAACTGAAAAGGAAATATTTTTGTTCTTCTAGTTACAATAAATCTGAGTTTCTCTGATAGCAAAACTAGGTAAGATTTTCAGCGAGAAGTGTGTGTCATTTAGTTGATATCCCTTTAATTCAGTAATGACTGGAAAGTGTGTTGAGATCTGAATTACTGTTACAAATGTTTGTGGTAGAAAAAATAAACTGCAGTGTTCATGCATATGCTCATTTTCTCTGTGGAAAAGCTATTTACATTTTATCCTAAATTGTTTTAAAAAATAACTTACTGAGGGTTGACGTCCGTATACTGTCAGCACAGAGTATGCTCTTGGCACTTCACAAATAATGAAAGCTCTATATGTAGCAGCATCCTAGCAGTACTTATAGAAAGCAAATGTTTGGACAGCAGTGCAGAGCATTCTGTATTCTGAAATACCATGAAATGTATTGCAACTCTCATTGTTTGCAATTATTAAAGTAAAAGCCTTTGTTTAAAGCTTGTATATAGCTTGTTTATCAGCTGAGGCATGCTGTGGTAACTGTTGCTTTTCCCTTCTTGCAGATACCTCATCAGTAGCTTGCAAATCTGCAGGCAATGATGTAGGCTGAATTTTTATTTAAAAAAAAATTGCTGAACACTTCTTAACTAGACAGAACTTTTTAGTATCATTCAATGCCTAACGTTGCAGAAGGTGAAAGGGAGAATGGTTCTGGACATAAAGAAAACAGACCTGAAAAAAAATCTCCAGAAGCTACTCTTCATGATGATGTAAAGCCATATTGCACTTCAGATGCATCTGCTACGTCACTGGGTCCTACTGGAGATGGGCATTATCCGTGGGGGTGTCCTGTGACTCACACCCGAGAAAAAATTTATACCATCTGCTCAGACTATGCTTTTTTAAATCAGGTAACGTCTGTTCATAAAAGTCCAAGTGCTACAGTTAGTGCCTGCCTACCAGATAGTGCTGCCTTAAATGTTGGAAATAATACACCTAACTTCATTGACATTCAAAGTGGAGCTTCAGAGATAATCTACCATGAAGACACTAACTTGGAAAATTTATCTAGTAGTCTTGGAAAGCTTCCACTGGCATGGGAAATTGACAAATCAGAGTTCAATGGAGTGACCCCAAATCTGAAAAACAGAGCAGGTAAGACAGTACAGCACTGCACCATTCAGAAAAATGCTGCATGAGTGATGTGGAGGGCCAATGCAAGACCCTCCTCCACTTACATTGTGCATTGGAACTATGTAGATGAACACACACACCATCTGTGTGTTGTAGAAATGTTTTTTGTGCTGGCCCCACAGATGCTGGTCTTGGGGGCTTGGATAGGAGTGGGTCAGGCCAGGGGAGAAGTGGCTGCAGTGTTCCCAACTTGGTGGCTCTTGCTTCCTTACTCTACCTTTGCTTTCCTGTAGAACCCAGTAATTTGTCTGATATAGCATACATTTTCAAGCTGTGTAGAAATAATACAAGGTGTTGTAAATCAGTGGTTCTCAAAGCTGGTCCGCCGCTTGTTCAGGGAAAGCCCCTGGCGGGCCGGGCCGGTTTGTTTACTTGTCGTGTCCGCAGATTCGGCCGATCGCAGCTCCTACTGGCCGAGGTTCACCGCTCCAGGCCAGTGGGGGCTGCGGGAAGGGCAGCCAGCACATCCCTTGGCCCGCGCCACTTCCCGCAGCCCCCATTGGCCTGGAGCAGCGAACCATGGCCAGTGGGAGCTGTGATCGGCTAAACCTGCAGACATGACAGGTAAACAAACCGGCCCGGCCCGCCAGGGGCTTTCTCGGACTGGCTTTGAGAACCACTGTTGTAAATCTTATGTGCTCATATAATCCAACCTCTTTTCCACCTAACGGTGGGGCAAATGAATACTTTATTATTGTGTTCTCTTGGTATTACATTTTTGTCACTGTCTGAAAAATAAAACTATTTAGAGCTGACTGAAGTCTGTTTTTAAAAGGGAAGAAATTTCTGGCCTTGTGACTTTCAGCTTTGATCCAGCTACCTTGAAAAACCGCCCAAAGGCTCCTGTGAGAATACTGACAAAAGCAAATGTTATCTTTATAAAATTAAATTTATTATGCATGGAAGAAGTCAAAATTTCCCAAACACTGTTCAAGTATTTTGAATTGTGTATGTATATGAGGTTAAAGAAATTGTGTTTTCCACTGTTTTGTGTTCCTCTTGTTTCTGCTTAGCGAAAGATTTTAATGGTTTATTGACCATGCATATGTACACAACTGATTTTTATATCTAGTCTATAATCACTGTGCATGCCTAGAGCCATTGCTTTAGATTTTTCTTATGAGTTGGCTGACCAGTCAAGTTCTAATTTAGCTTACTATTTCACTGAGGTTCAGAAAAAGTCGCAAAACAAGATTGAAATTATTTGCTCTCAGCTGTTTTTATTCTTCTTCCCGTACAGTGACTTGCAATAAGGGAAAGTTCCTGGGGATATATTTTCCCTCTGCACGTCCCTGGGCGCTCCAGTCAGAAAGTGTGGTTGTTAGTGCTGGATACAGAAGACGCTGTTTATGCAGATTAGCAGTAAAAAGATTAGATGTAAGACTTAGATATGTAATGTGAGGCTATTGTCAGTGGTCTGCTCTCCCTCTAGTGCATCAAGATGGCTCTGGAGAGGTCATGGAAGGCCACCAATTCCTAGGATGGCTGGTGTGAGGGAGGCTCACAATGTTTGTGGAGGCCATGAGTAGGTGATTATAGAGAATAGAAATATTTTTCAGTAAAATGAGCTGTTGTGTAAAAGGTATATACCTGTTTACTGGTTCTTCCCAAAGCTGTTGGCAGTCCCAGTTCAAAAGCTAACTTTTCCTTTCAATGGAAATAATCACAGTACATCTCTATCCATGCAGCATATTGTCTTTTTGTTAGAAGTACATTGAATGCCTTCTGGTAAGGGCATTATAGTGGAAATATTTAGCTTGTATATTAAGCATTCATTAACTGCTTCTAAAATTTATCTTGCAGGCAACATGAAGAAACAAGTAACAAAGAAAAAATCTTTGGACAAAAAAAGCAAACAATACAGGGAGTGTTCTCAACATTCCACTGTTGAAGAAATAAAGCAGCGGAAAGTGCTCGACCTCAGGAGATGGTAGTATTTAAAAGTCATAATTAAGATTACCATAGTATGCAGAGCTTGTTTGTAAATGTTGTTGTGGCTGTGTTATTTTAAATGCTAATGTGTAATAGTTTTTCTTTAATCATTGGATAGAAGGGTATATGGGATCTGTTAAACATAGTTAATGAACTACACCTGATACTTACTACAAGGGGTCTGGGTCTTGTGGTGAACATAACATAAGAAAATAAGAACGGCCATACTGGGTCAGACCAAAGGTCCATCTCGCCCAGTATCCTGTCTTCCGACAGTGGCCAATGCCGGGTGTCCCAGAGGGAATGAACAGAGCAGGTAATCATCAAGTGATCCATTCTCTGTCACTCATTCCCAGCTTCTGGCAAACAGAGGCTAGGGACATCATTCCTGCTCATCCTTATTGTTGTTAAGATACTGTGTGCCATCATTTACATTTCCTACATATTAGGAAATTTCTACTTTCAATAAAGAACAAAAAAGTTGTGGGTGAATTTGGTACTAATAAAAAGTGAGACCCCATTAGCATGAGCAGGCAATGTGTAAATTTACTCACATACAAGTGTAGCTTATTCTGACTTTATGCCCTTCTTTTGTGGTTGGGGCTACTTGAGCAAAACCTCTGTCATATAGAACTGTGAATGTACTACAGAATGTTCACTAAGAACTGGGCTGAAACCACTAAACTAATTTTAACCCTTCAGAAGGTTTCTATGGCATGGGAAATAAAGGTGAGGATAGGGACTCTGTGACCTAAAGTCACCTCCATTGGTAAAGTTCCAAAGAGTTGCAACATAGTAAGGGATTGCAGTATTTGAAAGCTATTGACTTGAAAGGCTGGCTGGCTAAGGTATTGTTATTGGGATACATGTAATCTTTTCCACACGATCAAATGTAGATTTGACCTATTTCAGTTCTGCCTCAAAATTATTTCTATGGTTAGTAGGTCCTTGTGAATTAAGTTGGTGGTCTCAGTGCAGATCTTGATGGAGTGGGATCCACATCACCACCTAGTGTTAGAAATGTTCAGAAAATGAATGTGTGTGAGATTTGTGCTTGTGAAATATGCCAGATTTCCATTTTATTTACTTTTCCTGGGTGAAATCCCATGAAAGATAAATTGGCATACTTACTCCAGAATTTTTAAATTAGTATATGGCGGTTGAGTCTTACCAATGACTTATTTTAAAGGCAAAGTGAGACAAAATACTTTGTTTTTTTAAAACACTGTTTGACTTTTGGGTAAATTGTCATAAATGAAAGTGCAGCAAGCTGCATATATCTAAATAAAGAAAATTTTCTCTTTCTCCTCAGGTACTGTATTAGCCGACCCCAATACAAGACTTCCTGTGGAATTTCCTCTCTAGTATCTTGCTGGAATTACTTATATAGCACACTGGGAACTGGAAAGTACGTCATTTCTATTCCATTTCAATGTCAAGGAACCTAAAATGGCTATCTAAATACCCTATTAATTATAGTTAATTATGATTATCAATTTCATTTTCAGCCTACCACCTATTACTCAAGAAGAAGCCTTGCATATTTTGGGCTTTCAACCCCCATTTGAGGAAATTAGGTTTGGTCCCTTTACAGGAAATACAACTTTAATGAGGTACAATTTGTTTTCTTGAAGCAACGGAAATGCTAATGTATAGAATAATTTTCTAATGCTAAAAATTAGATTGTCGCTCTTAAAACAGCAATAATATACTCTGACTAACTCACTGTGTTTTATTTGAGCTTTCTGAAAACATCATGAACAATGAAGCAAACGTTAAGGGTTCTGATAAGAGAGACCAGAGTTTGTTTTTAATAGCTTATTCCTGAGATGTTTTTGCTGTCCTAGTATTTTTGTATGCTTCTAAACTGATGGCTCTAGTCACTAAAGACTGAAGTTATGTTTTCATTGCATTACCACTGCCTCTGCTGGGAGCCTGCACTGGAAGGGTGACACAGGGTACCCAAATGCTAACAATGGAGGGAAGCTCCCCCCCCCCCTTTTTTTTTTAAATCCATAGTTCACCTTTCTTTTTAGAAGTCTCCATGTCAGTTCTCCTTATCCATTCAGTCCTTTGCCTCTTTTAAGAGATCACCAAATATGTCAGATGCCATGATAGTTTTATGTGCAGACCTATTTAGGGTTTGGTGTGAGACCTGTATTAGCTGTACTTGAGAATAAGAACTTTGTTCGTTATAGATCTGTGTGGGATTTGAACTAGTAAGATAAAGGTGAAAAAGCTGTGTATCCATTACCAGACTTCTGGCCCTTCCAGCTCCTTGGAATGAATTATTTATTACTTGTACTACTATAGCATCTATCCTATACTATAGCATCTCAGACCAGGCCACCGTTGTGCAAAGTACTGTATAAATGCATTAGAAGAATGTCCTTACCCCAGTGAGTTTATATTCTAAATCCCTAAAGGAGGAGAAGATTGCAAAAAAAAGTATAAATATTAAGAATTATTTTGCTTCAGTGTTTGTTAAAATACCAAAATCTTTAAAACAAGTCTTATTGTTTTCAGATGGTTTAGACAAATTAATGATCATTTCCATGTAAAAGGATGTTCATATGTTCTATATAAACCTCATGGGAAGAACAAGACAGCTGGAGAAACTGGTAAGTAGGTAAATCTTAGACACTAATTTAGTATGTAAATTGGAAAACTGTAGTTGTAAAATGTTTTAGGATCAAGAGAACAATTTGTGTAACTAAATAATCCCAACTTATGCAATTACAGTCAGAACAACAAATGGCTCTGAGCTGCATAGCTTTTCTGACCTTCCTTTTTTTCCCTTCTCCTCTCTCTGTACTCAATTTTTCCTTCTTTTAAGTAAAATAATATACCTTATATGTGATTATTGTGAAATAGCTGCACTCCTAAGGTGCTAGAGGCCTTTGGCTTCCCAATCTGTATCTGGCTACTCTCTCAAGATGTGCATTTATCTTAACAGCATATCTCACCAACTGGTATGTTTTAACACTTGGGAATTCTTTATACAAAATAGATTCAGAAAACTTACAATGTAAAAATACTAACTGACCAGTACACTTTTTAAAAATGCCACACATCTTATACAATGTTTCTTAGTCTTGTCATGCATCAAATGAGACAGTTTTCCTTGAAATAATCATAATTGGTTAATCAACACATTTGATTGGGAATACTTGCAGCATGTGTGAACTAGGTAAGTGATAACTTTACTACATGAGTCTATAATGGTCTTCTAACCCATAAATGCTAAGACATATATCAAACTTCAGATGTTGAGCTGAAAGCAGGATGTCATAGAATCATAGAATATCAGGGTTGGAAGGGACCTCAGGAGGTCATCTAGTCCAACCCCCGTCTGTTTGGGCAGAATGCCCACCAACATTAATTAGTTCTACAGTTGGTGCTATCCTACCAGTAATAATAAAGTAGCTGAACAATGCTGTTCAGATTTTATCTTCCTTTCTGAATGTGTAAGCCTCTAACTGAAAATTAGTCTGCATATAAAAATATAGCTGAACCTTTAAAAAACGTTTTTGGTAGTAAACTGTCAAAGTGAAGGAGTAGCTAAGATATAGGATGCACTGTACTGCAAAGGGACCTGGGAGATTGCTAGCAATCCCTACTGCAGTTTTGAGGGACAATTTGCTAAATTCTATATCCATGGAGAGGAAATAACATTTTGTGTGTCTGCTCTTTAAGTGGAGAAACAAGTTTTTCTTATTTCAGTGCTCTCCTAGTCTCTCTCCTGTATGGAAGCACTATAGTTGGGTTAAGGAATATGTTGAGTCAAGATTCAGATGTGTTTTCCAAGAAGATCATTATTCAAGAAGTGGTTCCCGATATGAAAATGTTGGCGAACCAATTATCTAAGAATTACAGGTCTCTCTAATATATTCTTGCTGTTTACTACAAATGCTGTATTAACTGGCATCAGTGGAATTAAGGACAGTGGGATTGCTCTGAATGGTTGTGAATATTCTTGGTTTTGTCAGCTTTACAATATTTTTATGTAATTCAAAACAAAACAAAAATAATCCCTAAGTCTTTAATTAGGACTCTCTTGCAAGGTGGAAACCCCCCCCTCCCCAAATACTTTCATTCAGATCTAAATGATGCAAGTATTTAAATTATGTGCCGTTTCTAGAGAAATAGTTCTTTGTAACTGATTCAGGGTAATATGTTTTTAGAGAATGGGACCTGAAAGAAACAAATTTAAAATCAAATATATTTGTTTATTGCAAACCTTTCCCATAATGCATCATGCTGCTGCTTGTGCAGTGTGACAATAAATATAACACCAGAAAATGTAAGAAAAATAACTGATCTCTTCTGCTTGATACTGAATGCAAGATTAAAAGCACTTTGGAGAATGATCAGACCTTTCTTTGTAGCTGCAGGGGCCTTGGTAAAGTTAACACAAGGACTGAAAGATGAATCGATGGCCTATATCTATCATTGCCAAAATCATTATTTTTGTCCAATTGGATTTGAAGCTACCCCTGTAAAAGCTAGTAAAGCATACAGGTAAGAATCTTGTAGTTATGCTTGCTCCTCTGTGAATCTTCCACCAAAATGGTGACTGCAAATTATCACTGCATTTACACATGAATTGAGTGCTGTACGAACAGAATGCTAGCCCCCTAAGTGGAAATGAAATGTCTCATTATTTTACAGAGTTCCCAGGTCTGCTGTTGATCAGCTCAGCAGCAAATCTTGGCCACTTGTTTTTGCCTTGTAGCTGTGAGGTGGGTTTTAATAATTAAATCTCTAAGTTGTGAAAGGAAGATAGGGTGCTGGACTTGAACTCAGGAGACTATCGTTAGGTTCCTAGCTTAACCACAGACTTCCTGTGTGGTGGTTTGTTTTATTTTAAGATAAATAACTTAATCTACCCTGTGCCTCAGTTCTCCATCTATAAAATGGGAGTAGTACTTTAATAGAATTCATTGAAGCCACCGATTGTTTCACATAGGCTGCTGAACAGCCATGGGATAGTAACACTAGGGGTATGTCTTAAGAGCAGGACAAAGTAAGATCTTTGGAGGCACTCTCAGAGAACAAGGATGGTGAGGAAAAAAGTTTCTTCTAATTTAAACATGCTTTCTGAGCCTTCAGTCTTCATCGTTGCATAGATATCACATCTGGGCCTTATATTCTGGTCACCATTCTTCCAGTGAGAGATTTGAACAGAATTCCCTGATGAGTCAGTCAACATCAGTTTTTATTAGTGGGGAGGGGGCAGTGTGTCACAATGCAAGATGTTCCTTATCTCCAAGAAACGAACAGTCACTTTCAACCTCAGTTTCCTGTGTGAAGCAGGAGTTTGGACCAGAAATCAAAGTCCTGTTTCTTGGGTAATCTATTTTGCTAATTTATAATAGGTAATACATTATTTGATAGTTCAGTAGCCAGTTATAATTTGTCTCAACTATACCAACAGTTGTAAAATATTTCAATAAAAAATTCTAAAAACCAATAGCAAGTTAATATGCTGCTGTCTTTCATTGCAGAATGCACGCTGAGTCTTACTAGAATTGTATTTTTGTTCAGCAGAGGTCACCTCTTGCAACAAGAAGTGGAGTATTGGATCTTAATTGGAGAATCAAGTAGAAAACACCCTACCATTCACTGTAAAAAGTAAGTTTATATACTTCTCGCTCTCTCCTTTTTAAAAAAAATTTCTAGAATATAGGTACTTAAAACATTCAGTTTCTTCTAAGAACTCCCTCTCCAGTCAGGCATGGGCAGTACATTAACCATTTGTAGCTTTCATGATTCATGGAGTATTCAGTATTTTCAGAAAAGTCAGGGTTTTAGTGAGAGTTTTGATTTTTCATATTATACTTGACCTGGGTTACTAATTCTGTGATTAAATCTACAACATGTCCACAGTGGTTTTTTGTGAGCACAGAGTATAATGTACAGAAGACAAGGTTCCAGTCCCAGATGTTTGCCACCGAAATAGACAAACACAAATCAGAAAATATTGAAAATATTGAAGACTCAGAAAAGGTGTAACTCAGAGCTCTTTTTTAAGAGATTTTATTTTTGTCTGAGTTGGAACTGATTCACTGCAACAACTTCCTCGATCTGACTTGGTGCTGGATCTATAAAACTTGGGTACCAGTTTCTGGAGGAAGGAAACAGCATTTCTCCTAAACATCAGAATTTCTGAAAAAATCCACACCCCCCACCCCAAAAAGAAAAAAAAACAAACAAACCAAATCATGGGGACTGTGAGCAAAAAGGTTTCTCTGACTTTTTCTCTTGCCTGTTTGTGGGATGGTATGTTGACCCATGGGAACAGAGCTGGTTGGAAAAATCTGACAGTAAAGAAGTAAAAATTTGTGCATCCCCGCCCTCCCCCTTGGTGTTCTGTCCAGCTATTCTGAGACCATAAATTCTAGTGGTAAATGGTTTTTGTGATCACTTCTACATGTTAGTCCATTTTATTTTGTAGGTGGATAGATATTGTTACAGACCTGAACACTCAAAATCCAGAATACTTGGATATTCGGCACCTGGAGAGGGGTCTGCAGTATAGAAAAACAAAGAAGGTAATATTGACTTATTAAGATTGGGGAAAGAACTTTTGCATGAGACTTTTTTTCCAATGAGCTTATTCATACTTTGCTGTACTAAAGAAGCTGTAATTTAATTTTTGGTGAAGTCTCCTACTATAGAGTTAGAAGTCCAGAGTTCAAATCTTATGGCTGCCATGTCTGGTGGAATGAAAATTATTGGGGAAGTTTTATGGCTTGTGTTATACAGGAGGTCAGCCTACATGATCACGGTGATCCCCTCTGACCTTGGAATCTCTGAATCTATTAATTATAACTTCTGCTGAGAGGGAATGCTGCGGAAATTCAGAAAACCAAACATAGATGCTAAAAGAGACACTGCAGAGCACAAGAGTTTAGGTCTGCCTTGCAGGATGTAGGATATGCCAGTCCAGGTTATTGGCCCTTCATCTTTGATATCCTATCTCATTTTACTGTGTAATTTTTTGGGGGCATACAATTACCCAGTCCCTGTGTGACGAGATCCCTGGTGTGCAGCCTGGTACTGTGGGACGGCTGAGCCTCCTTAACTCTCTCCAGCCGGGGCTATCTCTCACACTGCTTTGCTAGTGACAAGCAGCAAGCCCCTCCAAGCGCTGTGATCACTCGGCACGCCAGCATGTGGAACCCCACACACTCAGCTAGATTGCATGAATGCTCCTAGCCACTCATAAATCTCACAGAGAAAGGCACCAGTGCCAACCCCCACCCAGCACTGTACCTCAGGAATATACTCTCTTGCAATACTCAAGACAAACAATGCATATTTATTAATTGGTTCACCACGTCGATATACACCAGCCTTTGCAAAACCTGAGCAGATTTGCCACACACTTCATACATACTCACTGGTAAAGATAAACAGTAAAACAAATTTATTGACTACAAAAGATAGATTAAGTAACTATAAGTGATAGGCAAAAAGTCAGTTAGATACCAAAATAAAATAAAATATAAGCATGCAGTCCAAACTCTCAACCCTATTAGATGGGGCAACATCTAGATTAAGCAGTTTTTCTCACCCCACTGGATAGTGCAGTTCATAATTCACAGATTTCACCCTTGAAATCTGGGTCAGTCCCCTCAGTTGGAGTAGGTGGGTGAAGGAGAAAAACCCAGCATGTGGCCACTGTGTTCTGTTTTATAACCTCAATCCTATGTGCTTGGGGAGCACAAGTCCAGGCATGTCTGGGGGCATTGCTGAGTCTCCAGGCAAGACTGAGCAACTCCCCTGGTGTGGCCTCATGCAGGTGAACCATTGAATTGCTGCACAATGGTTGTTGATGAGTTGTTTAACACCCCACCTGGGTGTTGGCTACTTTCCTTGCTGTTGCCTCTGGGGAGCTAATATTTGGCTGATTCCTCAATTTACAGCATGTTTTAGTGACAACCATTCAACACAATTTTCATAACTTCATATGCATTAAAGATATACATCAGATATACATGGATAGAGAAATGACTTTCAGCAGATCATAACCTTTCCCCTTACAAGGCATGCTTTAGATGTAAGATCATGATTATATAAAAATAAGGAATAGGGGGGTTCCAGGGCGCTCCTCCAAGGTATAGAATGTCACACCCTGTTAGTGCAGCTGGATTTTGTCTTAGCGAAATAGTGAATTTTTAAATTGATTTTTAAATTTACCTGACATTAACTTGATTGTGTGACCTCCTTGTTCACTTAGTATAGCATGGTGTAATCAGGAGATAAAGTACAGTGGATGGGGAAGTAGTATCTGACAAAAAACAGTGCATGTGTCTCGATTTGTTCCATGGCTTTTATTTGTATAATTTTTCTTATGGAGGATTAGGCCTCTGAGAAGAATTGAATTTTAAGCCTGGACTTGAAGGCAGAGAGGGTTGAAGCATGGTGGAATGGGTTGAGGAGGTAGTTCTTCTTTGAGTGCTTCCCTGTGAGCACTCCACTTCAGGTGTTGTTGCATCCTGGCACCATTGATCGGATATTTTCAGTAGCAATACTCAGTCGGGATGCACCTTGGAGTCTCGTTTTGTGTGCATATGGTATGACCCCTCAGTTCCTTCTCAACCATCCTCTGCTGAAGATGAGCTCGGGACAGTGCGACAGCTTCTTCCCCTGCAGATAGTAAAGAAACCTTAGATAAGTTTATTATAGTTCCTTGTTAGCTTAATTAGCAATTAGTTGTTTTTTCAAAACAAGTTTTTTCTCCCATTCCCTGCTCCTTTTGGAGCACGCCTCGAAACATGCCGAGCTCACCTGGCTTTAAAAGATGTGGCTCCTGGTGAGAAGCAATGCCACAATCTGATGAACACTCTCTCTGTGTGAGATGTCTGGGTGAATCACCTATACCCCAAAAGTGAATTCACTGTAACAACCTGAAGGCGAGAGCCTGGCATGACCAGGGCCTCTGCCTCAAAATGATTCTCATGGAGAAGTCACTCCAGCCAGGTACAGAAAATGACCAACCAAAACTTCCCCCTAAGTCCTTGCTGACAAGGTCAGAACTGACAGAGAGCACGGCTCTGTCCTCTCATGAAAAGAGGAAGTGAGCACTGACCTCTCCTAAGAGGGATTCGCATAAAAAAGAAATAGTCCCCTGTGAGGTCGTTACCCTCAGTGCTGACAACCCCAAGAGTCAGCACTTACCACTCCCCCAGCATCTCCAGTACGGACCGTGTCATTGAGCCCAGAGCAAAGGGCAGGAAGTCAAGATATAAGCACCGCCATGTCTCTTCCATGGCACCAACCACGCCGGCACACGCAGCAGACACAGCACCGACCATGCTGCCACCTCCAGTGCCGACCACAAAATGAGTGCCACTGCCATGCTTGTCACTGCCACCTCTGCCAGCACCGACTGATAGTGCTGCGATGGGTCCACTGGCACTTACAAAATTTAGCCACAAGATGGCTGCACGCCTTTCAGCCGCAACTAAACCCTCAGCACCGCATCCACCAGCACTGCAGCAATTCCTCGCTCAGCAGGATATTTCCGTATCATTCATGTCCCAATCAGCAGTCCTTGACACCTATGGACTGTCCACAAGGAGTGTCATTACACAGCCCACGGCACCGTCGGTACCCAGTGACAGCGATGATGAGGACCAGGACGGAGGAGTGTTCTCCCCACAACACTCCTCACTTACTCACCACAGACCTCCTTGGGGTACACTGAGATCTAAAAGCCACCATAGTCAACCACCATAGCCATTGTACGGACATGCTTTTCCCATGAAGTGGCCGCCATGGGATCCCTGGGCAGCATACAGAGCCCACCATGCCAGAACCTCATTGCCACCCAGAGGTGATCTTCGGTCTCCTACATTATCTCCAGTGGCTACAACATCTGTACCTCCAGAGGAGACTACAGAGGAGCCAGAGGAAGAAACAGGCCCAGAGGATGTGTCACCAACGCACAACTCTTCTTCCCCCAATGAGGCCATCATGCCACCTCCACCTACAATGGCAGATGACTTCAAACAATTTCAAGACCTCTTTAAGAGAATCGCACTAAGCCAGGACATCCCATTAGAGGAGGTCCAGGAAAACCAACATAAGCTGCTCAAAATCTTGCAACCTTCCTCAAACATTGCACTTCCAATAGATGATGTAATTCTGGAACCCGCTGAAATGGTATGGCATACACCAGCCACCATCCCTCCCACATGCAAATAGGCTGATAGAAAATACTACATGCCAGACAAGGAAATGGACTTTTTCTTTTCCCACGCACCACCAAACTTGTTAGTAGTTGAGGTTGCAAACCATCACTCCAAACAACCCCAGTCCAAATCCAAACTTGAGGACAAAGACCACAAGAGACTAGACCTCTAAGGATGGAAGGTCTACACCTCATCCACTTTACAATCCTGGGTCACTAACTATAGCGCCCTTCTGGCGAAATATGATTATGACAATTATGGGAAGTTATTTGAGTTTATGACTGAACTTCCTGAAGATAAAAGAGCACAATTCAAGACGTTGCTCACCGAGGGACAACTAGTAGCCAGGACTGCCCTAGAAGCTTCCCTGGATGTTGCCAGTACGGCAGCACACGCCACAGCTATTGTAATGTGCAGAGCATCTTGGCTCTTGTCATCCGGCATCCCAAAAGAGCTTCAGATTCAGGTGGAAGACCTCCCCTTTGACAAAGATAAATTGTTCTCATCTAAGACTGATGAGGTACTCCATTCTATGAAAGACTCACATGCGACTGGGCATCTACACACCTCCTACTAAGAGAAAGCGCTATCAGCCTTACCACCATGCCAGAGAGTCACAATTCCACCCTCCGCAGTCCAGACCGTATGAGTCCAACAGACAAAGAAATAGATCTCTGAGGCACCAACTCTCACAACCTCAACAAGCGGCTTCACAACCACCACCTAACAAGCAATGGTTTTGAAAGGTTGGTCGAGGGTCTGAACGACCTCCCCCTCACATCAGTGTCATTTCGCCCATTTAGCCACCAATTGAGACACTTCTACCATGCAAGGGAGTGCATCACACAAGGTTGTTGGGTCTTAGAAATCATAAGGTCGGGCTATACCATCCCCTTTATTTCTTGTCCCCCCATCCTACTCTCTTCCCCGTCCCTCTTCTCATGAGCACCTCTTAAGGCAGGAGATAGATCATCTTCTGCATCTCGGTTCTGTGGAAGCAGTACCTACACAATACAGAGGGAAGGGCGTCTATTCCCACTATTTTTTGACCCAGAAGAAAAATGGAGGATGGCGATGCATACTAGACATACAGAAACTCAACTCAAATTCCTATGCTCCCACAAATTCAACATGGTCACACTAGGCACAACAATCTCAGCGCTGGAACAGAGGGACTGGTTTTCAGCCCTCGACCTACAAGACACATATTTCCACATTACCATACACCCATCTCACAGACGATTCCTCCGATTCACAGTTGGACACGACCATTTCTAGTATAGGGTACTCCCCTTCAGACTGTCCCCTGGACCAAGGGTATTCTCCAAAACGCTTGTGGTCGTAGCAGCACAGCTGTGCAAGCAAGGTATCATATTCTTCCCAGACCTAGATGACTGCCTCTAGAAAGGCCCAAATCAGGCAGAGACAAAAAAAAAATTACCTGACTGACCATCACCCTCTTCCAAAAATTAGGGTTGCAGTTGAACACACAAAAGTCAACACTGATACCCACGAAACAACTGGTCTTCATTGGAGCATTCATTCGGTTCAAGCCAGAGCATTTCTACCTTGAACCAGATTTAGGACTATAAAGAATCTCATAGACACCATCTCCATCTGCCCACGAATCATGGCAAGAATCCGTCTACAACTACTAGGACACATGGCTGCCACCATATGCATGGTAAAACATGCCAGATGCCAAGGCTGCCTGGGTTCAGTATACAAACCCATCAAACACAGTCTGAACAAGTTGGTAACACCACCTCCCAAAGTGCTAGAATCCCTTTGGTGGTGGACGAGACCAGAGAATTGTTGTTCAGGGATCCCCTTTCAACAAGCACTACCCTCAATTATGATCACAGCAGATGCCTCCTAGTTTGGTGGGGGCGCATGCCTGGATCATCACACAATCCAGGGCAGATGGTCACCAACGGCAACACATCTCCATATCAACTTACTGGAACTCAGAGCGATATGGAGTGCCTGTCTCCATTTTCTTCCACTCATAAGCAACGAGACAGTACGAGTGATGACAGACAATATTGCATGTATGTTCTACATAAACAGACAAGGGGGAGCATGATCCCATTCCCTATGCATCGAGGCCATCAAACTATGGAATTGGTGTATCCATCACCACATTGACATCTCAGCCTCATACCTTTCTGGATGCCAAAATACCACAGCCGACACTCTAAGCAGAAGGCTCTGACAGGAGCACAAATGGAAAATGAATCCCACAGTCTTACAACAGATATTCCAAAGATGGGGTTTTCCCACCATCGATCTATTCACCACATCTCAGAATCACAAATGCCTGCTATTCTGTTTGAGGGCAGGATTAGGACCTCAATCTTTAGGGTATGCCTTCCTACGCACATGGGACAAGATGCTCCTGTGTACATTCCTGCCAATCCCACTAATCCTGAGTCCTGCACAAGATACAGGACGAAAATGCCCAAATCATCCTGATAGCATGGCCCAGACAGACCTAGTACCTGTACCTGTTATGCATGACTGCGCTTCACGAACTCTCCCATTGAGATCAGATCTCCTCTCACAAGCCAACGGTCAGATCCTCCATCCGAACCTGGAGAAACTCCATATGAAAGCACATCTCCTCCATGGTTCCAGCAACATGAGTTAACCTGTCCGGAACAAGTCAGACACATGTTATTGAACAGCAGATGTACATCCACACGCAATATTTACCTGCAAAAATTGAAAAGATTTTCCATATGGAGTTAGAACAAACAGTTCACTCCGAAAGCTACACTGCTGTCAGTAGTGCTAGAATATCTCTTGGAGCTAAAGAATTCCAGACTGTCCACGAGCTCTATTAAAGTACATCTCACAGCAGTCACAACTTTCCATTGTAAGATCGATGGATTTTCGGTATTTGCACATGCGACCACAAAACGTTTTCTTACTGACCTTCAGAATCTCTACCCTGAAGTACAGCCACCCATGCCTACATAGGACTTAAATCTAGTTCTCAAAGGCCTTATGAGACCCCCCCCTTTGAACCACTGGCTACCTGCTCCCTATTGCACACATCACATCCACTAGAAGGGTCAGTCAGAAAAGTGCACTAATGGCCAACCTGCCATACACTATCTTTTTTAAAGACAGGATCACATTGTGGCCCCACCCAAAATTCCTCCCTAAAATAGCTTCAACCTTCCATATTAATCAACATATTGACCTCCCTACATTCTGTCCTAAACCACACAGAAACACACAGGAGGCCGTGTCTCATACCCTCGATGTTCAACGTGCTATAGCCTTTTATTTGGACAAAACAAAGTCTTTCCACAAATCTCCAACGCTGGTCATCTTGATGACGGAATGATCCAAGGGCTCTGCTATATCGAAACATAGACTATTTAAGTGGATCTCAAGCTGCATACACTTACATTATAAAACATATAAGACAGAACCCCCAATGGGTGTCAGATCCCATTCTACATGATTCATAGCAGCATCTATTGCATTTCTAAATAGTGTATCCATTTCAGAGATCTGCTACAGGGGCCTCAGAACATACGCTCACTAACTACTATGCAGTTATACAGCCTCCAGAGCCAATGCCATATTAGGCCTAACGGTCCTCTCCTCTACTATGTATGCAACTTCAAAGTCTCCCCAACCGTAGTGGACACTACTCTACAGTCACCAGAAGTGCAGCACCCACAGGGACAGCACTCGAAGAAGAAGAGAGGGTTACTCACCTTGTGCAGTAATTGAGGTTCTTAGAGATGTGTGTCCCTGTGGGTGCTCCACTACCCAGTCGCCTCCCCTCTACTTTGGAGTTTGATACAAGGACTCTATGGTAGAGAAGGAACTGAGGGGGTCAGGCCGCGCGTGCACTAAACAAGACTCCAATGGTGCCGCAAGACAGCTATTGTGCACGCGCGGTCTGTCCAACCACTGCTACCAAAAATCTCAGATCAGTGGCGTCGGGATGCACCAACACCTGAAGTGGAGCACCCATGGGGACACATCTCAAAGAACCTCAGTAACTGCACAAGGTGAGTAACTCTGTCTTCTAGGAGCAAGGAAGGGTGCATGGAAGAAAATCTGAAGATGCGTGGAAAGAGGACAGAAACACCGTGATAGCTGTTTTTTGAGTGGAGAGTGTAAAGGCTAACAAAGTTAGGCAAAATCTGGGTTATGCTGACTTGTGAATGCTAGATAGGGAAACTTAAATACTGTGTAGAAGATTAGGAAGGGAGCTAGTAAAGGAGTTGAAGAAACTAAACTAAAGCAGTTTGTCACATAAATATTCAAAAGATTTTCATAAATAATACTATTAAGTAGATAATTAAGTAGTTTTCTCTGCACACTTTTTAACAAAACACTTCTTACCTTTGTCAGGTAGGAGGAAATCTGCACTGTATCATTTCTTTTCAGAGACTTAACTGGCAAAGGTTTGGTCCTTGGAACTTCCCATTTGGAAACATTAGACGAGATATGCAACCACAAGCACAAGGAATTGCGAAATCTGAAAGCGAAGACAATATCACCAAGAAACAGCATGGACATCTGGGTAGATCTTTCAGTGCTGGTTTTCATCAAGAGTCCATGTGGAAGAAAATGTGTAATCTTCATGAGAGGAGGAACAGTGGATATCAGAGTTATACTGATTATGATGGGAATGATAGAAATTAACTTAGTACAGCACAACTAATGTACTAAAGTTTTGCTAAGACATGGTAGGAGTTTATTAAGCCTAGAGTAGGTATGACTAGAAATGGTATAAAAGGCAATCTCATAGTTATTTAAATACATACTTCTGTGTATGGTTGCGATGGGTGAGATCAGATGTGAAAACTAACAAATAAGCACAGATTATTGTACTTTGTAATCAGAGTAAATATAATAAGCAAACTGTCACTTCAAATAATTGAACTGCATTTGGGACCGTGGAAAAAACAAAAACAAATTGTGGTTAAAGCCATTTATGTAAACAAACAGCATTGAAAAGTATTCAAAGCATGAACCTTTATATCTTATTACATTCCAAATGATTATCCTGGATACTATATAAGGATAAAAATGTAGACATTTCCTTCCTTTCTAACATTTTATTTTTATTTTAAATGCAATAAGGCTCCCACTGTCAATTAGAAATATTGTAATACAAAAAACTTGTCAAACATAACTGAGTGGGTGGTCTCAGTCTAATTCCCAGTGGACTAGTGTCCATGTCCCTTAAAATAATGATATTTTGCCAACTGGTACAAATTAGTGCTATTGTATCTGAAAAGCCTGAGATTGATCGTACAGGGGAAAATGACATTACTCTGGGTCAGGCTTCAGGCACAACAGTAGGGTGGGCTTGTGCTGTTACCCCTCTTCTGCCTGTTCTGTAGATAAAGTAGTGGATTTTTACTACAGCACCTTTGTGAGCACTGAATTTGCTTCATTTTCCACAGGCTTCTTAAATAAAAATGAAGTTGAATTTGCTGATAACCAAGCTGAACACACTTTGGCCTGTTGGCTGTTCTTTTCCTTCATTGTGTCTCCAAATTTCTTAGTGTTCTTACTTGTTAATTTTTCTATGAGGGGTGACACTATTAAGTACCAAAGAATGCTAGCAGCCCTAACAGTATATCTGTCAGCAAACAATTTATATTGTTCAGGTTTCCATGTAAAGCACCTATATTTGGACTAATATAACTTTCTTTGCCCCAAAACATTTTAGCAGTTATAACATTCTACATACAAATGATGAGCTCAAGGATTAATTTTGTTGACATGAACACTTGTCATGGAATGCAGGGTTTTTTGTGGTTTGCTGCTTTTGTTAACCAAAAAACGGGAAACTTTTAGACAATTTTCTTCATCCAATAAAATTTGTTTTCTACTTTGTCATTTGTTTGTTTTGGGAATGTCCTTATTCTTAGCCTTGAAGAGTTTATCCTCTAACTGAGGGACTATTCTTGCTTCTCTCACTCAGTGGAGTAGCCCCACTGAAGTTTCCTGAATGATGCCTTTATGACTAAGTCCATAATATGTCTGGGATATATTAAGCATATGAATTTAAAAGGGCAGCTTTTCTTTTCTATAAGAGAGACTAATTTGCAGGGGAAGTAAAGGCATGTGTAGGATAAGCAGGACAGTTGATAATGGTGTTACCCCACTATTTGGACTTAAGGTATTCCAGTACTGGCCCATTTCTGGTAGGGGACATTGATGCTTTTCTCCTTCAATTATAAGACTAAGGAAATGTTGATAAACTTGGGACCTTTTCAATTGTTACATTTTTATTTAGCAGGGCTAATGTCCATTTTGCTAATCTAGGACTAAAAACATGTCCATCATTAGTTTTTCGTGTTAATACATATTTCACAGGTGAATGCGATGTCTTAAGAAGCACTAGGGATAGTCCTACTAAATATACTCAATGTTGCAAAACCCAAACCAAGGCTAATACCTCTTTCTCACAAGGAGTAAATTCTTGTTCCACTCAATTCAGAACCTTAGAGGCATATGCCACTGGTTGAAGACCTGTTCCATCGTCTTGACTTAATACAGTAGTCATTCCAGTACTAGTAGTAGCCAATTCGAGCCTAAAAGTTTGTCCTACTTTTGGGTATGCTAAACCTGGGGCTTGTGCTAATGCTTTCTTAAAATGCATACAAGCTTTCTGCTGTTCTAATCCCCATTCCCAGTTATTACCCTTTTTAAATAACTTATACCCTGGGCTAGCTTTCTCTGCATAATTCTCTTGAGAAATTTGTCATACCCCAAAACTATCTTAAAGTAGATAAACCTCTGGGGCTGGTAATTTTTGGAATAATTCTACCCTTTGTTTATCTGGTGATCGTCCCTCTTGTCCTAACGTTACTACTAGATAGTTTACCTGCTGTTGGCATATTTGAGCTTTTCCTGGACTAACCTTAAACATTGTTTCCTTTATTTTCTGTAATACGTGGTATAATATTTCTAAATTCTCTTACTTAGTTTTTGTGCTTATAAAGGATATCATGTACATATAATATGATGTTATCCTTATGAGGCATGTTATCCCATATTTGTTCATGTGCATATGGCAGATAGCAGCGCTGTTATGGAAACCTTTTGGAGATTGACAAAAACAAAACTGTCTTCCTTGGAATGTAAAGGCAAACTTGTACCAGGAGTCCAGATGCAAAGGAATTGCAAAGAATGCATTGGCTAAATCTAAACCAGTGAACCATCATGCTCCTCCCATAACAGAGGCAATTACTTCGGGATACTTTACTACTACTGGAGCTGTCATTGGAGTCCATTCCAGAATTTTACAGTCCACCGAGGGAAGAGCCAGAAGAATATCAAAGGCCACCTCCCGTAGCTCCAATTAATACCTCCACAGTAACCAAAACTACACTACGAAATTAGGTCAATTTTATAGAAGTCAATCTTTAGTATGTGATTTTATACAGTCGATTCTGCATGTCCCCACTAAGTGCATTAGGTTGGCGGAGTGAGTCCTCAATACCAGGGCTAGCATCGACTCATGGAGTAGTGCACTGTGGGTAGCTATCCCAAAGTCCCTGCTGCCCATTGGAATTCTGGGCTAAGCTTCCAATGCCTGATGGAGCAAAAACATTGTTGCAGGTGGTTTTGGGTAGAATCTGTGCAGTCTCCCCTCCCTTCTTCCTTGAAAGCAACGGCAAGCAATCATTTTGCGCCTTTTTCCTGGGTTATCCATGCAGACGCCATAGCACAGCAAGCATGGAGCCCACTCAGCTGCACACTGCTTTTGTGAGCATTGTAAACACCTCGTGCATTATCCTGCAGTATGTGCAGAGCCTAGCTAGGAGCTGCTAGCATGAAGAAGATTGTGAGGACACGGACACAGACGTTCCTGAAAGCACGGGATGTGGCAATTGTGATATCATGGCGGCATTGGGGCACGTTGATACAGTAGAATGCCGATTCTGGGCCCAGCAAACAAGCACAGATTAGTGGAACTGCATAGTGTTGCAGGTACGGGATGAATTCCAGTGGCTGCAAAACTTTCGCATGCGTAAGGCCACTTTCATGGAACTTTGTGAGTTGATTTCCCCCACCCTGAAGCACAGGAATACCAAAATAAGACCGGCCCTGACAGTTGAGAAGCAAGTGGCAATAGCCCCGTGGAAGCTTGCAACGCCTACTGCTACCGGTCAGTCAGGAATCAATTCGGAGCAGGCAAATCTACCATGGGGGCTGCTGTGATCCAAGTAGCCAGGACGATCAATACCCTTCTGCTAAGAAGGGTAGTAACTCTGGGAAATATGCAGGTCCTAGTGGATGGCTTTGCTGCAATGGGGTTCCCTAACTGTGGTGGGGCAATAGATAGAACGCATATCCCTATCTTGGCACTGGACCACCTTGCCAAAGAGTACATAAACCGCAAGGGGTACTTCTCAATGGTGTTGCAAGCACTGGTGGATCACAAGGAACATTTCACCAACATCAACATGGGATGGTCAGGAAAGGGGCATGACGCTCGCATCTTTTGGAACTCTGGGCTGTTCGGAAAGCTGCAAGAAGGAACTTTCTTCCCAGACCAGAAAATTACTGTTGGGGATGTTGAAATGCCAATAGTTATCCTTGGGGACCCAGCCTACGCCTTAATGCCATGGCTCATGAAGCCATACACAGGCAGCCTGGACATCAGTAAGGAGCAGTTCAACTATAGGCTGAGCAAGTGCATAATGGTGGTAGAATGTGCCTTTGGAGTTTAAAAGGGCACTGGCGTAGTTTGCTGAGTAGGTTAGACCTTAGCGAAAGCCATATTCCTGTTGTTATTACTGCTTGCTGTGTGCTTCATAATATCTGTGAGAGTAAGGGGGAGATGTTTATGGCGGGGTGGGAGGTTGAGGCAAATCACCTGGTGGTCAGTTTTGAAAGCCAGACACCAGGGCAATTAGAAGAGCACACCGAGGTGCGCTGCACATCAGAGAGGCTTTGAAAAGCAGTTTCATGACTGACCAGGCTACGGTGTGACAGTTGTGTGTGTTTGTCCTTGATGCAAAGCCACCCCCGTTGGTGAATGTACTTCCCTGTAAGCCAATCCCACGCCCTTTCTGTGGCACTCAAAACCCCCTCCCCTCCTGCCTTGGTTAAGCTAAGCCTGCTGCAGGCCAATTTACGGCCTGTTGACATGGCTACTTTTAGCAATAAGCAGTAGTGGTTTCAGGCACTTTACTGGTTTGCCAAAATCTCCCTGTTCAGTCCCTCTTCCTCCTTCCCTGCTACCTCGGGGCCTGCCCTTCCACAGCCAGTGCGTCCCTGAGCCCTAGGGTTACAAACTTTCTAATGGCAGAAAACAGAACAGCCTCCCCCTGCCCCTTTTCCCCCCAAGGCACTGCCTTTGCCCCACCCCTTCCCTGAGGCCCTACCCTCTCCTCACTTCATTCCCCCCTCCCTCCGTTGCTTGCTCTGAAATCTACAAGAGAGGAAGTCTACAAGATGAAACAAAACCAGGAGGGTGTCCTGTTTATGAATAAAGACAAAGGATTGTTCTGGTATATGTTGGTTTGCAAGGAAACACACGGGGTTCCTCACTGAGGAAGCAAGTTGACAGCATGCTTGATCATGAAAGAGGATTCCAGCCAACCTGGCTGTAAAGGGTTGTAAGGATTTGGGGTAAGCATTACACTACAAGACATGAGAGTATCTAATTAATTAAGTCTAGCCACTAGGATGCGTGTTATGATTTTAATTTATATGTAACCATGTTTCCAATATGTCTACTTGCTGTTACTTGAATCTCTGTGTTCTGTTAAATAAACTCATATTTGATTTCACTATAAACATATCTAAATGCTGTGAGTTAATCAGAGTAGTGATCTGAGTGGAACTGGTAAGCTGGGGTGTACTGTTTCTCTTTGGAAGCAGCAAATCCATGAATTCTGTGAGTGTCCTGGGGACCAGAATCTGGACACTCCAGGGAGATGCTCAGAGGGCTCAAGCATTGGGGTGTGCCAATCACTTAACCTGTAGAGCAGAGGTGGGCAAACTATGGCCCACGGGCCACATCTGTCCCGCAGGACCCTCCTGCCCGGCCCCATAGCTCCTGGCCTGGGAGGCTAGCCCCCGGCCCCTCCCCTACTGTTCCCCCTCCCCCACAGCCTCAGCGCGCTGCCGGTGCAGTTGCAGAGCCGCGGCCTGACCCGGTGCTCTTGGTGGCGTGGCTGTAGCACCGCCAGCCATCGGTGCTCCAGGCAGCACTGTAAGGGGGCAGGGAGCGGGGGGTGGGATAGAGGGCAGGGGAGTTGGGGTGGTGGTCGGGGGCGGGGGTGTGGATAGGGGTCAGGGCGGTCAGAGGGCAGGGAACAGGGGGTTGGATGGGGCAGGGGTCCTGGGGGGGGCAATCAGGAAGGAGAAGGGGGGTTGGATGGGGTGGCGGGGGGCAGTCAGGGGCAGGGGTTCCGGGGGCCGTCAGGGGACAGGGAGAAGGGGTGGTTGGATAGGGCAGGGGTCCCTGGGGGGCAAGTCAGGAATGAAATGGGGGGTTGGATGGGGCGGCAGGAGGCTGTCAGGGTTGGGGGTTCCGGGGGTGGTCAGGGGACAGGGAGCAGGGGGTGGTGGATGGGGTAGGAGTCCCGGGGAGGCCGTCAGGGGACAGGGGTTGTTGGATGGGGCAGGAGTCCCGGGAGAGCCGTCAGGGGGTGAGAAGTGGGCGGGGGAGAGGGGGTGGATAGGAGGCAGGGGCTGGGCCACACCTGGCTCTTTGGGGAGGCACAGCCTCCCCTAACCGGCCCTCCATACAATTTTGGAAACCTGATGCGGCCCTCAGGTCAAAAAGTTTGCCCACCCCTGCTGTAGAGTAACAGCAGGGTCTGCGAGGTTTAGAGAGGAGTGCTTGAGTTGCCTGTGAAGCTGGAGGCTGACCCATG